GACCAAAAATTTGGTCTTCATTTTTTCAAGTATGCCTTAAAAATTATAGTGTGCAAATACTAAAAGGCTAAGAACCACCAGTGTAGGTGTCCAAGCTAATCCTTCTTTTGTGTTGGGTAACTACCTACTGCTTAAAATCCCAACAACCCTTTGATTCTCTCCAATTTTTATGTACCTAAGAGCTCAAACTACTTGCCTGGGTTTTGTACTGGGTTTTGATTTTTGAACTTTTTTCCCCAGTGAATAAGACTTACAATGTTGGTATATTTGGAGAGCCTGAAGTTCTGATCATCTGTATTTCTAGCTTCAACAGAGCCAGAGGGAAGCCAGAAACTTTGGCAAATGGAGGCACAGAAACCAGTGGGACAGAGAGACAGAGTCTGTCTACCCATGAAATGAGTAACATCACTTCAACAGAGCCAGAGGGCAGCCAGAAACTTTGGCAAATGGAGGCACAGAAACCAGTGGGACAGAGAGACAGAGTCTGTCTTCAACAGAGCCAGAGGGAAGCCAGAAACTTTGGCAAATGGAGGCACAGAAACCAGTGGGACAGAGAGACAGAGTCTGTCTACCCATGAAATGAGTAACATCCACATGAAATACAACTGAGATGATTTATAGGACAACCAACCCTCAGAATAACCCTCCTGGTTGAAAGCTGGAATCAAATCCATGTTCCTTCCATCTATTAAAGCCCTGAGGATTGGTGTAAGTTTATAGAGAATTTAGGTTATCTTCTGTAATATGGAGCATCCTTGGGTAGTTTAAGCTAGGTCCTTAGGTTCCCCTAAAATATATCAGGATCCCTGGTATCAATAGAGGAACAGGCTGGGGTTGGCAGGTGGCCAAGTCTCTTCTGAAGACAGTAGGGTGCAGAGTCACCAAATCTCTGAGGGCTACTTTGAATCTAACTATATTCTTTCTAATCCATTCTAACCTTCTCTACACCCTGTGACGGGCACCCTGAGGATGGTGGGAATTGCAGAGGTCTTGAAGGAAGAAGTAATTTGCACAGTGATAATGTCTTCTAAAAGTCAGGATTTACTGAAAAGAGCTTCTATGGAAAGCAGAAGAAAGCACTGGGCAATTCAGCCTTGGGTGTGAATGTCCTTGAGATTCTATTCAGAGAGAGAGAAACAAACAGGCTAATGAGGAAGTGGGAATTAACTGTGTAAACATAGCTTTCAAGGCAATCCCAACACTGACATGGACATTTATGTGACTCACCAAAATGAGTACTGGGCATAGGCCATGCTTGTCCTTGCACAAAATCTATAATAGGATCCTGCTTTGATTTTGTTGTTGGAGTTTAAGTAAAATGTCCGTGCTGCTAGCCAGTATTTCTGGGTTATCCTAAAGAGGTATTTTGCACAGTATTATGCTTTGTGGGAAGATAATGACCTTTGAGATAGACAACTATGGTTTGGCCTATAATATGATTTAATTTGGCTGTTAGCAAGGTATTTTCATCCCTTGAAATGTTAAATCCTTCTCTTTTTGAAGATAATACTTTGCTTTTCTGCTTATGTTGTACAACTAAAAGGGTAGAGATGGGTAAGTTCAGTTTGAAGACATTCGTTTATAAAACCAAAGCTCTCTTGGAGAGATGGTTGATTCCAAATGTAAGACCAGAACTTCCAAGATGAGCCTGGAAAATCTCAGCATAAAGAAGAGCGAGGAATTGTTCAGAAACTACTAAAGTAGCGGCAGAACGCAGGAACCAACACAAATAAGCTTGGTCTGCCCGAAGATAGGGCAATTTGAGCATCAATAAGAAGACTAATCAGAAGAACTGCAACGGACTGAAACATACACTCCGTTTAAATCTAGTTCATTATAAGACTTCAAAAAATCACAGAACTCACTGATCACTGTTGGAGGATGTAGGGAACCAATTCATTATTTTGCAAAGAAACAAAGAATTATGCATGTATCCTGCCTTTCCTCTATGAACTATATCTCAGGGTAACCAAGAGTTGATGGGAGAAGTTACTCTTTATGTAAGTATTCCAGTAATAAATAAAGAAATAATGATAAAATGAGAATATTGTCATTTTGCAACCTCCGATGAGTTAATAAATCCAGGCAGTAGTAGCTAATTTCCCAAAAGAAGAGACAAGCAGACACTAGGTTATCTCTTGATGGAAATACACTAAACCATTCATGAAGTCATCTTGCCAAAAATATCAGACCTGAACCTGATCAAGCTCTAGATCTAACTACTAATTTTCAGGGAGTACATTAGACAGAGGAACATGTTAAAGGATCCTAAGAGGTGTAATCAACAAATTTGGACTGTGGAAAACTCTACAGAAAAAAAAAACTCCACGATTCTTCATCTCTAAAAGTTGTAAGGAGAAGAAAATGAGCAGGAACCTATGGATTAAAGAAATCTAAAGAGGCAGATCAACCAATCACAATATATAAACTTCATGAAGATCCTAATGCACCAAACAAGCTGTTGAAATTGCAAGATGATAGAATTGGAAACACTGACTTGATGTTCAATATTAAGGAATTATAGTTAATTATTTTTTCATAGAATAATGGTATTGAGATTATTTTTATATTTACGTTTTATATATACCCCTGCCTGCCAGTTTGCTTTCACAATAGCTATCAGTCCTCACAGCTGTATTAACGGTATAATTGCTTGTACTGAATTTTAAGAGCCAAATGAATATTTCTTGCTATTCATTTAGCAGCATCCCAAGGACAGTGCACATGTAGTCCTATTTGTGTGTTTCTACTTTACAGGAAACTATTACTAGAATAAATGACACGATTGCTGGGAAATGATTCTTAATCAGTGGGTGGAGGAGCAGGTGAAACGATGGGATTGGTCATGAGCTGGTAATTGCTGGATCTGGGTGATATGCATATAAAGCTTCATTAAACTATTTTCTCTATTTTTGAATATATTTGAAGATTTCTATATTAAAATTTTTAAAAAGAAAAAATAAAAATAAAGGGAAAACTCTTTGGAATACCAAGACAAAGAAACAACAAACAAAACCCCAAAACTTCTCTTTGGTAACAAAATGCCAGCAGTGAAGTGAGGACGCCAGACTCCACTCCCTCGGGAAACTGCAGTCTGGCTTCAGAGCTGGCTTTTCAGTGGAGACCACCTGTCTAACTGCTAAAAACTAGAGTTAAGGGCCAGCCCGGTGGCGAATGACAGGATCCCACAGCTTATGATCTTTCATGTGCACGACCATGTAGAACATTGCACCACTTCCCTGTTCACGTGCTCTCTACAGTGCTCAGGAAGCAGAAGCCGGGTGCATGGGTGTAAGGCAGTGGTGTTGAGCTGGACACTCATGGCACATGTAACAGCAGCTGCTTCTGGGAATCAGAGCCCTGTCTCTCAGCGACACTCACCATAACATATGACATGCCAGGTTACTGTGGCCTTCTATTTCATAAACCACCATCACACAACTATTCTTTCTATATTCTTATAAACTTGATTTAGAGCTTAGATATACTTAACTCTGGGACTATGTGTGCAGTATATTCAGGATTCTGCTAAGTGAATGGCAAAAAATATTCATTTGACTATTAAAACTGAATACAAATTGGCCGGCCCGGTGGCGCACTGGATAGTGCGCCGCTTGGGAAGTGCGGCGGTGCTCCTGCCCGAGGGTTCGGATCCCACATACAGACCGGTTCCCGCTCACTGGCTGAGCGAGGCGCGGGAGCGACACCGAGGGTTGTGATCCCGTTGCCGGTCCCCGGTCCGGTGCGGGGGCAACACTGAGGGTTGCGATCCGTTGCCGGACACGGAAAAAAGACAAAAGACAAAAAAAAAAAAAAAAAAAAAAAACCTGAATACAAATGATCATAACTTTGATCCAGGTGTGAGGACCCGTAGCGTATGTGGTTGGAGCAAGCTGCGAAGGCAGGGGTCTATTTTTTTTTTCCTAAAAGGAACACACAGCTTGAATACACTCACTCAAAGATCGACAAGGATCAATGAGTCTTAGTGGTTAGAAAAGATCATGCTTTATCTCTACCACACATTTCCTGACCTGCAAACCTACATCATAACCTACTTGTAGCAGTGACAACTGATCAGTTGAAATCTTTGTAAACTGAGGCTACTGTTTGCCACCTAAAATAAGAAGGAAGGATAATGGTAGAAATCCAAACATATCTGATCAAGTTCTGGGGGACTGGAATGAGGGGGACAATAAAATCCACAAAACCCATTTCTTATCAGAGTGCTCCTATCAACATTTCCATCAAAACAAACTGAATGCTATAAAGAAAACAATTTTAGCAGCTTAATATTCTTCAATGTTTAAACAAAAATTAATACCTTCCAAAAATTATTCTCTAATATTCCTTTGATAATAGTCTACCTCTTACCCTGCATTCACTTGGCCTTGACAGCTAAAGCATTGTCATATATTTCTTTATATACTGTACTCTGATTATCCAGGGATTGATTCAAATATATACATTATATTCTCAATTGCATACTAAATCTTCCGAAGGGCAAAGAATGAGCTTTTAATTTCCCCCCATTTCTCTCAGTGCAGTGATACAGTGGCACCAAAAAGCCTTTGCTGGAGAAAGGAAGGGACGGAGGGAAGAAGGGAGGAAGAAAAGTCAGCATATGTAAGTCTAAAGGCTGAAATATTACATTACTGCTCAAACTCTGTTTTGAATAAATACTCATAGCATTTCCAAGACCAGACCTAAAAACAAATCTTTAGACTAAATTGAATGTCAAGAAAAGATTTATAGTTTGTGCAATCAAGATGAATCATTAAACACCATGGGGCGTGCAGTAAGTAAAGTATAACAATTTAAGTAAATTGGTGCAACTGTTAAAATAAGGACTGAAATGATCAATCCACTTCAACTAAAAATGATTTAGTCAGATGGTTGGTAATACACACAGGATTTTAAGAAGCAAAATTATGTACATAAGTTACAAAGAAATTAATTCACCCACTTTAACAATATTTGTTACTAGAAATAAATAAAATTACCTCTGAGTAATTCGGTGAGAGATATTTCCCATTGCATTTAGCAATGCTTCTCAGAATTTTTAATGCTTTGTCTCCTTTCTTCCGAGTAATCAGCCAGCGGGGAGATTCAGGAACCACCCTGGCAAAGAAAGAGGCCTTTTGAGTTATGCCCAGGAATTTCAAAACCTAAAAGTTTATGACTTGAGTTTTTCTATCAAAATGGATTTTGCAGTTAGATACCAGTTTAGGAGATTCTGAGAGTTGATAATAGGCTTTCTGAAATACAGATTACATTTGCACATTTATAATGGATGGGAAAAAAATGCTAACTTCATAATTGGATCATTGCTCATAAAAATAATCAATATTACATTGCTCTTGTAAGACCAGGCTCTCCTACAATACAGTGTCTTTGATTACATACATGAAAATAATCGGAATTTAGTGAGTACTTAGGAAAAGGTTAAGAACTTGATTTATGTAAACTGATTTGTATTAAATTAGAGGAATGATTAAAATACGTTCATGCTAATAAGAATCAAACACACACCACTGTAGCTTCTTCTTTTTTTTTTTTTTTTCCTTTTTGTCTTTTTTACTGACCGGTAAT